GGTTGGTGTCGAGGATTGAGGAGTCTCTCACGTGGATCATGAACTGCTGAGGAAGACAGGGGCCGGGTTTTTTGTTTCTTACAGTTCCGCGGGCACGATGCGGTGCAGTCATTCAGCAGCTTGCCCAGGAGTCAACAGGAGCCGCCTTGGGTACTGGCACAAGTAGGAAAAGCTCATTACGAGCAAGCGGCGTACGCCGAGGCAGAGAAGTATTTTAGGAGACTGCGAGTCTTGGCACCTTCGCGGATGGAAGACATGGAGGTCTACTCTACAATCCTGTGGCACCTCAAACGCGAGACTGATCTCTCGTTTTTGGCCCACGAGCTTATCGACTCGGAATGGCTGGCACCACAAGCATGGTGTACGCTAGGCAATGCATGGTCCTTGGCAAGAGAACCGGACCAGGCGCTGCGGTGCTTCAGACGGGCGACTCAGGTTGACCCCAAGTTCGCCTATGCCTTTACGTTGCAGGGCCACGAGCACGTTGCGAATGAAGAATACGAAAAGGCACTGGGAGCGTACCGACAGGCAATTACTGCCGACCAGCGCCACTACAACGCTTACTACGGCATGGGCAAGGTGCATGAGAAGCTAGGCAACTACGACAAGGCTAGGATCCACTTTCACACGGCGTCCATGATCAACCCGACGAATGCAGTGCTCATTTGCTGCGTGGGCAGTGTCCTTGAAAAGCAAAAGCAGATGGGCTTGGCACTCCAGGCCTTCACCAAGGCCACCGAGTTGGCACCACGAGCTGCGCAGACTCGGTACCAAAAAGCTCGAGCTCTCCTCGCTGTCGGCCAGCTCGAAGCCGCGCAGAAGGAACTTTTGATCCTCAAAGATTTGGCCCCTGACGAGGCAAACGTGCATTTCCTCTTGGGTAAGATGTACATTCGCACTGGCGAGAAGCAGTCGGCCGTGCGACACTTCACAGTCGCTCTCGCACTGGACCCGAAGGTAAGCTGGATGCCTCGTTGTGACTCACGAGACGTGCCGCTAACAGGCAAACAGGCAAGCCCACAAGTCAAGGAGGCGATTGAAAGTATAGAGGACGATCAGGGGATGGAAGACTCCCTCATGACATGAGGCCTATTCGAATTTTGTTATGGGAGCCGTACCTCAAAAGGTGTGTCACTACATTGGCAGTAATGGTTTGGGAAGCCGGCGCGATCGTCGGTTGCATGGTGTGGCATGACTGGGCTGGGATCGAAGAGATTAGACTGGTCTCCTCATTGCGGGGAGCGGTGCTATGGCACCGCCAGTACGACGGCACGACATGACGTTTCGACGACGCATGGCATGGTGCGGCGTTTAGGAAAGCAACGAAATTCCAAGGTGGAACTGAGGGGCGGTTGGGTGAGCCACATTGCGGGCAGTTGGAGGGGGTAACATGCTTTTCATGTACACATATACCAAAGCTCAGCATCCGCAGAAAGGTGGATGCCGGGAAGACGCTTACCCCTACGTTCAAGAGTATGGAATAAAGTGCCTATCGACGCTTGCCAAACAGCAGCAGGTTTGGTGTGAGTGCTCGTCAATTCGGTAATACTTCTCGTGGTGGACATGCGGGTGAGGTGTTGACCCATGTCATGGAGATTGTGGGGTTGAACTCGATGGCATGTTTGACGTCAAATGAATTGGGGGCAGCGAGGTGCAGCACGTGTGCAGGAAGTGAGCTCGGACCATGTCAGGTCGCCCCACCCACTCCACCCTCCGAAACAAGCACAACGGGTGCGCGCACCCCAGACCCTGGCAGACAACAGAAACGCGCCTCCTGGGCTCCCGACTGTGACTTGCGAAATCCAAGCCAGAAAATCAGGGACGGCTATTGCCATTTTTGCATGTCCCTATTTTCTCGCCCCACCCAAAACAGGCTAGCGCCGCTCTGGCTGATCTGGTGCACCACCCGCGCCTGCAATCAGTAACTGTTCCCCCCCCTGCGCACCTTTATTTATCGCCTTCCCCTCTCCTCCTCCACTCTCCTCTCTTCCCTCTTCCACTACGATATCACAACACCGCGTCTCTATCAACGTCATCATCAACATCGTCAATCTTTGACGCGTTTATCACCAACCCACTTCATCACACTCTCACCCCACATTCAAAATGACTGGACGTAAGTACTATCTACTTTTCTATCGTCAGCTTGTCGTTGGTCGAGAGGCGCGTTCCGCGACCGCGTTTCTCGTCCATCACGACGCATCGGTCGCCTGCCTTCTACTTCACCCTCAACACGTACTGACCGATTCCAGGCGGCAAGGGCGGCAAGGGTCTCGGCAAGGGCGGCGCCAAGCGTCACCGCAAGATTCTTCGTGACAACATTCAGGGCATCACCAAGCCCGCTATCCGTCGTCTCGCGCGTCGTGGCGGTGTCAAGCGTATTTCTGCCAGTAAGTTCCATCGCCAGCCAATCATCCACACGCAACCATACTGACGTGCTCCCCCCCCAGTGATCTACGAGGAGACCCGTGGTGTTCTGAAGTCCTTCCTTGAGGGTGTCATCCGTGATGCCGTCACCTACACTGAGCACGCCAAGCGCAAGACGGTCACGTCTCTCGACGTCGTCTACGCTCTCAAGCGCCAGGGCCGTACCCTCTACGGTTTCGGCGGTTAAGCAGCTTTTTCCCTTCGGAATGCTGTTGCCTCTTCTGCACGCACATACAATACCCTCTGCTCGCGTTCTTCTCGTCGCGTCTGTCTGGTCTTTGGTGATCGGGTGGCTCGGCTCGGACTCGGCGTGACGTGTAGATTGGTTCTTTTGGTCTTGTATCCCACACATGTCGGTATGGCCCGGCTGGCGGGATTTGGTTCTATATGGCGTTGGCGGATCATGAAACTCGGGGATACGATAGCAGGAGGCGTCAGGATGATGCCCTCCGTATGAATACCACTACTACCACATTTGGTAACATCACGTCTTCGCCTTCTGTAGTGACTACATATGATGACCCGTGCTTCGAATTGAACGCGTTCTTAAGTGTTTACTCCTGCTACATACGGGTATCTGTCCTCATCATTGCGCTCAAACGCTTATTCCCGTGACCTCTAACAGATGGATCACAAATACTTCCGCCCTGCCGCCGCTACCCTCTGCCTGAACACCGGACTCCTGACTTCCATGTTGACCTGGTAGAAAGGGTTCATAATGGCCTTGATCCAGTTCTCGTACACTTCCGTGAAGAAATTCCGTACCGCCTCCTCCGTCGCGGGACTCGTGGGATTCGCCCCAATGGCCGTCGAAGACCGCGACGTCGGCGGGCCAGGCGGCAGAGAGGGCTGGTGGAGGAGGAGGAACTTGACGTTGCCGGCCGTGACGAAGCAGGAGACGTAGTTGTTGAAGAACTTGTCGACGACCTTGAGATACCTAGTTGGGGGCAGACGGTCAGCGTGAGGCGTCACCAGAACCGCGCGCGCACGGCGCTTGTGTGCGAGGGAAGGAGGGAGGTAGCAAGGGGAAAAGCAGAGCGTAGCGATACGGGGGGCGCGAGCCCCGACGTGC